TACTTTACTTTAAATTTAATAAAAATGGAATATACAATCCCTCAAAATCAAATCTGAATTCGAAATTCCTGTTATCACAACCATAACATGTATTTTAGGGCTTTACTATTTAAAATATAGACTCTGCATGTGCAATCAGTGTCACTCAGCCAAACACTGAAGCTCCCAATATATTGCAACACGTATCGGAATACGGGTACCAGAATCACAATATATTGCAATGCAATATAATTTCCCGATACTCAGCCCTACTGGGTGAGTGGGTATAGGATTACGTCGCTTTTAGCAATATTCCAGCAATATCACGGCGGGGGGACACCAGAAATGGGCTTCACACATTGTACCCATGTGGGGAATAGAACACGAGCGACTGCTTTAACTACCACACAACCCTGGTATTTGGACACGCAACAACTAAACTGACGTACAAAAGAAAGTACACACCTGGAGCTTTTGGATTACTTTCCAAAAAGCGACGTAAATGTTTGGAAAAGAGTTTTTAAAGTGATATATATATATAAGTCACAAACTTTCCTAATATGTTGCCAAAACACCACAGATATCGTGCCAAATTGCGAAGTTGCCAGTCAAAATCACAACACTTTTCAAATAATCCCCAAACACCAGGGCCCGGTTGTTCAATACTCGGTTATCTTAACCGCCGGTTAACTCCTAACGACCGGTTAAATCCTTAACCGGCCATTAGGTAACCGAACGTTAAATATGCGTTGTTCAAAACATGGTTAGTCATGCCGTTAGCTAACGTCGCCGTCAAAGTTTAATAGTGTGGTTAACGTCACTGGTTAGCTTTCATATATCCCACAATTCCGTTTTCTGTTTACTTCCGGATTACCAAAAATGGAATCGCGAAATGTCGCCTGCACCCCAAGGAATAAGAGAAGTCGAAAGTCCTCTGCTGACGATGAGAGTGTAATCCAGTCAATGGTTGAGACCAACTCTATAGTTTATCATAGGCATGCGAATGTCGTAGTGCCACGAACGCTTGTATTGGAACACAAGATTCCAGACGTTTGCATATATATTTCAAAGACATATGATCCGAGCTCTGTGCGGGACTGACTTCAATTCCGACAACAGAAAAGACAGCTATAGATAAAATATGATGAAATCACTGAAAATACAGGTAATATTAATAGTAGAAGCATGTTTTCAGTGGATAGAATATTTACAAATATTACACACAGGAGTTACGCTTAGACGGCAACAGTCTTAATGAATCTTTGAATTCCCACAAGACCTATCGCTCACTTTTCACTCCTTAAATTGTCATGACTGTATGGCCAAGTCATTAAGATGCTATCAATATCATTTATTAATTATTTGCCAAGTCTGTCAAAAATTGTAATGTATGTATGAACACACATTGCCAAATCTTTAACATCAAACAATATAAATGTTGTGACAATAATACCATTAGCTTTTTATCTGAAATATGCATTCCATGCCAATAGAAACGTATATGTTACTAGCACCACGTGAAAGTAATCAAAATGTAATTGTACTATAGGCCCCAGGGCCAACACTGCTGAATAAAATCGATCTATTATTCGACCTTACTGTTGACAGGAATCTCATAAATAAAACTGCAATGTCGTCATTATCTGAACGCCTTTACAGACGCATATTCCGGAAAGATGTCTTGAAAAACATGAAGCTGCGTCTAATTTATAGATGAACATAATTTCCTCGATACTCAAATTTCCTCGATACTCATTAATCAGATGAACCTTCATTTAGTTCAATTCACAAGTGACTGCAGAAAATGCATAATTCATTTGAATGACTTCAAGGTCGGAAAACATGTATCATATTTCATAAGTGTATTATAGAACGCCGTAGTAGATGAACATAATTTCCTCGATACTCATTGATGAGATGAACCTCCATTTAGTTCAATTCACAAGTGACTATAGAAAATGCATAGATAGTTCTTTTCAATGTCTTCAAGGACGGAAAACATGTATTATATTTCATAAGTGTATTATAGAACGCTGCAACGATTCGGCAGAGAAATACTATTGTGCCATTGTATTCCTTATATAAAATACATCAGTGTATAACATTAGCATTCAGATATTGTTATAAAATAAGTTTAAAATTCCAAACATTATCGTGTAAAATGACAAGAGATAGTGTTGTGTTCGCTGTGACAAAAAGGTTTCGATATTCAAATATAACAATTAATCAAAGTGACTACGAAGTAGTTCTGCATCACTCACAACTAACAACGTTTCGCGGAGGCCGGTATTGAAACACCAATTACATCACATATATTTCATATTCAGCGGCGACAAATGCATCACTGAATTCTAAGGCTGGGACGGGTACTACGGTACTCGAATCCGGGTCGGGTACAGCTGGAATCGAGTCCTATTTCTAGGAATCGGGTACCCGGAAAGGGAGAGAGCTCTGTAATGACAAGGGCAGACAATAGCTTGTCCTTTTCATTTTTGACGTAACACACATTTACATCATTGAGTGAGTGAGTGAGTGAGTGAGTTTAGTTTTACGCCGCACTCAGCAATATTCAAGCTATATGGCGGGGGTCTGTAAATAATCAAGTCTGGACGAGACAATCCAGTGATCAACAACATGAGCATCGATGTGTGCAATTGGGATACGATGACATGTGTCAACCAAGTCAGCGAGTCTGACCACCCGATCCTGTTAGTCGCCTCTTACGACATGCATGGGTTACTGAAGATCAATATTCTAACCCGGAAATTCACGTGTTTTAACATCATTGGTATTGTCCGATTAATGGAGCATAGTTTTAATGACTGTAATTTATCTATGCATGTGCAGTGTGTAGTTAAGTTACAGTAGCAGCAGGAACGAAACGTTCGTTGTTATAACGAGGAGTGTAAGTAATGGTGTTACTCTCTATATTGGTTAAACAGACGTAAATTAAATAGCTTGAGGTCAGTTTTAATGTCTTATTACCAACTGTTCAAGTTTTCTGTAATAGTCTCTGTCAAATCGTGATTGAATATTCAGAGGTTAACCCGAATGTATTTCTTACATTTCCAGGTACTCGAATCCGATTCGGATAAGTACATGCGGGTACTCGATTCCATTGTTTCCTACTCGTCCCAGCCCTACTGAATTCCTCATACATTTTAGAATATAATTGCAACTGGTCTTGTCACCAAGTGTCTAGATAAACTGAAACGAAAGATATTGGGGGTGGAAACAACTGCTGTGGTCGAAAGACAACACCTGTTTGAAATGTAAAAAAAATAATTTCAGACTTTATACTGTGTAGCATTTTCTCAAATTTCAGACACCCATTTGCATGGAAAGAGCATAGTAGCAAGAAATAGGAAATTAAAAATAGATGCAATACAGGAATGTGATGTGTTTATAAGAAACTGTCAAGTTTCTCTGTAGCGTGACGCCATGACTGACGCAACATCATGCAGAACGACAACGGTAATAATCGGCATTTCTGGCCGCTTCTTCTCTTTCTTAAAATGAAAACGATAAAAACATGTAACAATACACAGATAGTCAGAATCATTCTGATTACTTACATCTCATATTTATGTACAAACGATCCCTGAATCAAGGGAAGGGTCCTCGCAAAACCCATGTCAGCCGCCATGTTTTAAGAAATCTCAACGGTAGTGATGTCATACGTCAACATTGTTGTACATATTAGGCAATTTCTATGAGGTGAAGGTCGGTAGAATAAGAGCATACACAATCACCATATCCCGCCGATTACACTTTCAGTATCATAATGTAATCATTCGGATATTTTTTCATGAAACTAATTTAATTATCTACATTTAGTCTTGTTCAATATCATATCATACGTGGGTATAGGGTGTACGTGTTTGATTCTTTGAAAGTGTTTGTTTGAATAATATTTACAGAAGAAATTCACACATGTAGTGTAGTAAAACATATATAAACCTTTACACATGTGTTTATAGATGAAACGTAGGCATCATTTTCTTTTACAACATGTACTTTAGTTCCTATGAAGTGCATAGTTACAGTTTCGTATGAAACTCTTCGTCAGAATAATTTCCAATATCGAAGTCCAGTCCACGATACACCCTATCCTTTCTTTGCTGAACTGGCATCATGAAAGCAGTGAACGCCATTTGCGAGTTAATAGGTGTGTTAACTTAACATCACGTTAACAACCTGCTTAAAGTTAACAGAGTTTTGAACAACAAGATAACCCTCTGTTATTAGTTAACGGTCGGTTAAATGTACTTAACGGCTGGTTAAAAGATAACCGAGTTTTGAACAACCGGGCCCAGGTGTGTACTTTCTTTTATACGTCAGTTTATCTCAACGTGATATTATACGTCATCTAAGCCAAGAGGTAATTGATGAGTTCTTTGGAGGACATTTAGACGTGATGACCATTGGTTAAAACCTCTATGGATATAAATTTATTTGTTAAATGTACCGCTTCATTTCCATGGCTATATTGATGTCGTATGAGATTTTTAAGGGCATTTAGAAGCTAATTGATATTTGAAGCATGCATGTTGAATTTGGATGGCCAACAGTGAGAAGTGCGTTCCCTAAGCTTGACTAAATGCTTTCGGTGTCTTACGAATTTTTGAAAGGTATTTAGAAGCTATTTAATGTTTGAAACATGCAGCTTGAATTTGGATGGCCAACAGTGTGAAGACTTGGGTTCCCTGCCCAACTGCCCAACACTGGGTTCGAATCCCGACTGGCCCTGACCACGTTACTGGGTTTGTTGGCACCTCTGATGACGGTATATGCAGAAATTCAAGACGTGTTAAGCCAAGTCATTCGTTTGCAAGGAATATTCAGGGTGTACACATTGTTCAAGGTGTAGGCATAACATTCAAGGGAAAAAGTGAACTTGACACTGAAATCAAGTATTCACCATGACAACCGTCTTGGTAATCACCGGACTCAACGACATTTCAAAAATGCGAAGATAACGATAAGAAAGAGGATATATTGAAGAGCAGAAAGAACGGCACCTGTGCATGTCCTTCCGTCGCCAGTGAAGCCAGATTTACACGCACACGAGTAGGACCCGACAATGTTGGTGCAGTCTGCATTTGTGCTACAGTTGGTGGACCCGGTATCACATTCGTTCTCATCTGAAATAGGCAAAACTGAATGTTTTGTATGCCGTAGTCAGCTATGTCACTGCAAATAACGGAATCTTGAGCAGAACAGGATTTGCCAGAATGAAGATTTGCTGGAAGGACAGGCACCATACACTCTAATCATTCTCAGACATAGACACCACTAAACCACTGTTATTCAGCATAACTATGAAGCACTGATACCTAGGCCCCAGTGGTGGGGAGATTAACGCCAATACATAAAACTGTATGGAAACACTGGGTTACTAAAGATCAATTCTATCCCGGATCTTCACGGGTCGCTGGCCATTCCGAAGTTGTCACGCCTAACGTTATGGTTTGATATAGTGTCAGTAACTTCTTTAACTCACCTGAGCACGTAACGCCATCGCCTGAGAAACCCGGGTTGCACATACAGGCGTCATCGTGACGTTTGTCCAGACAAACAGCATTGACATCGCATGTGCCGACACTGTCTGCACAACTGTCTGGATCTGAAACATGAGAAAATGAGTGTCGTCTCTTGCCGGATTTTGCTCAAAGTTGAATTAAAACTATTTCCGTTATAACACATCAGAATGTACATCGTTAAACAGACAAACCGGTGGTTGATATAATGAACAACAAATCTGACCACTTGCTACAAACATACACAAAGCATGACTCAATTGGGGATGTAAAAATCCTGATATATCAGTTGTAGTGTAATCCTAGTATACCAGTTGTAGTGTAATCCTGGTATACCAGATGTTGTGTAATCCTGGTATACCAATTGTAGTGTAATCCTGGTATACCAGGTGTAGTGTGATCCCGGTATACAAGTTGTAGTGTAGTCCTGGTATACCAGATGTAGTGCAATCATGGTATACCAGATGTAGTGTAATCCTGGTATACCAGCTGTAGTGTAATCCTGGTATACCAGATGTAGTTAATCCTGGTATACCAGGTGTAGTGTAATCCTGGTATACCAGGTGTAGTGTAATCCTGGTATACCATTGTAGTGTAATCCTGGTATACCAGTTGTAGTGTAATCCTGGTATACCAGATGTAGTGTAATCCTGGTATACCAGCTGTAGTGCAATCATGGTATACCAGCTGTAGTGTAATCATGGTATACCAGATGTAGTGTAATCCTGGTATACCAGATGTAGTGTAATCCTGGTATACCAGCTGTAGTGTAATCCTGGTATACCAGCTGTAGTGTAATCATGGTATACCAGATGTAGTGTAATCCTGGTATACCAGCTGTAGTGCAATCCTGGTATACCAGCTGTAGTGCAATCATGGTATACCAGATGTAGTGCAATCATGGTATACCAGATGTAGTGTAATCCTGGTATACCAGCTGTAGTGCAATCATGGTATACCAGATGTAGTGTAATCCTGGTATACCAGATGTAGTGTAATCCCGGTATACCAGATGTAGTGTAATCCTGGTATACCAGATGTAGTGTAATCCTGGTATACCAGTTGTAGTGTAATCCTGGTATACCAATTGTAGTGTAATCCTGGTATACCAGCTGTAGTGTAATCCTGGTATACCAGTTGTAGTGCAATCATGGTATACCAGATGTAGTGTAATCCTGGTATACCAATTGTAGTGTAATCCTGGTATACCAGATGTAGTGTAATCCTGGTATACCAGTTGTAGTGCAATCATGGTATACCAGCTGTAGTGTAATCCTGGTATACCAGATGTAGTGTAATCCTGGTATACCAGTTGTAGTGCAATCCTGGTATACCAGCTGTAGTGTAATCCTGGTATACCAGATGTAGTGTAATCCTGGTATACCAGCTGTAGTGTAATCCTGGTATACCAGATGTAGTGTAATCCTAGTATACCAGCTGTAGTGCAATCATGGTATACCAGCTGTAGTGTAATCCTGGTATACCAATTGTAGTGTAATCCTGGTATACCTGGTAATCCTGGTATACCAGTTGTAGTGCAATCCTGGTATACCAGTTGTAGTGTAATCCTGGTAACCATGGTATACCAGCTGTAGTGTAATCCTGGTATACCAGATGTAGTGTAATCCTGGTATACCAGATGTAGTGTAATCCTGGTATACCAGATGTAGTGTAATCCTGGTATACCAGCTGTAGTGTAATCCTGGTATACCAGCTGTAGTGTAATCCTGGTATACCAGCTGTAGTGTAATCCTGGTATACCAGTTGTAGTGTAATCCTGGTATACCAGATGTAGTGTAATCCTGGTATACCAACTGTAGTGTAATCCTGGTATACCAGCTGTAGTGTAATCCTGGTATACCAAATGTAGTGTAATCCTGGTATACCAGCTGTAGTGTAATCCTGGTATACCAGCTGTAGTGTAATCCTGGTATACCAGCTGTAGTGTAATCCTGGTATACCAGCTGTAGTGTAATCCTGGTATACCAGATGTAGTGTAATCCTGGTATACCAGATGTAGTGTAATCCTGGTATACCAGATGTAGTGTAATCCTGGTATACCAGATGTAGTGTAATCCTGGTATACCAGATGTAGTGTAATCCTGGTATGCCAGGTGCAGTGTAATCCTGGTATACCAGCTGTAGTGTAATCCTGCTATACCATTTGTAGCGTAATCATGGTATACCAGATGTAGTGTAATCCTGGTATATCAGCTGTAGTGTAGTCCCGGTATACCAGCTGTAGTGTAATCTTGGTATACCAGCTGTAGTGTAATCCTGGTATACCAACTGTACTGTAATCCTGGTATACCAACTGTAGTGTAATCCTGGCATATCAACTGTAGTGTAATCCTGGTAGTCCAGATGTAGTGTAATCCTGGTATACCAAATGTAGTGTAATCCTGGTATACCAGGTTTAGTGTAATCCCAACCTATAACACAATTTTGAAATAATCATCTTGAGGAACTCTCTTTCTCAATATAGGATATAATATATTTCGTATTTTATTTTCTGAGTAAAATACAGACACTAGTACTTCAAAGTGAGACACCTCATCTTTCGAAGCTGTAAACTCATGTAAATCACACTTTTTACTACAGTCCTGCAAAGGTTATCCTCAGACTCACCTCTCAGTCCTGGAAACTGTCCTTAATCACTCCAGATGTTTCTGCCTAATACTGAAAACTTTGAAACATCTGCAGGGACAGACTATTCTAAATCTGGCTAACTTAAAAAAGTCTTCATTCAAAGCTCTCGCTTAAAACCACAAATGTAACTATGGTGATCCACAGATGATCTCTCCTATTTTTGCAAACCTGAAATGTGCTTCCTTAAAGCCTCTGCATCTCTGTACATGCTCTCACTCTCTTTCTACAAGAAACTTGACAAGATCATCCACATATACTCTCTGCTAGTCTTGTAAACTTTTAATGTTTTACCTAAGAGGCTCTCTCTCAGTACTAGATATTTGGAAAGACTATCCTCAGGCTGTCTTGGTCTCTTTTTCTGGCTGTCTTTCTATACTAGATACTTGCAAAGTTAAAACAATCTTCCTTAAAGGCTCACTTTCAATACTAATTTAGATAGTTGAAAAAGCCATCTTCAGACAGTCTCTCTCATTACTGGATGCTCTCTCCTAATCTTGGAAACTTTACTGTTTTACCTTATAGCCTCTCTCTTTCTCAGTACTAGATACCTGAAAAGATCATCCTCATTCTCTGTCGCCCCCGATACTAGATGATCATCCACAAATACTCACTCCTAATCTTGCAAACGTGAAATGTGCTTCCTTAGAAGCTCACTCTCAGTACTTTATACTTGAAGATCATCCTCGGGCACACTCTTTCAATACTAGATACTGAAGGGATCATGCTCTGTCTTCCAATACTAAACATTTGAAAGGATCACCTTCGGACACACCTATCAAAACACCATCACGCAGAAATAATGACCATATTTCCGGCAACTGACAATGTAACCTACCCTTCAGTTGCAGGTACGCTGCCGCGCTGGTGGATCTTCTGGTGTAGGAATCCTTCATGTGAGTTAAATATTTAAAACACGAAGACGTGTCTTCATCAAACACTATAGAAAGACAATTCACATTATAAAAGCAATCCACAGCACATGTCAAGTAATTAATGGCGTTGTGACTTCCTAGCGTATACACTTCATACACGAATCCGTTCAATGATGGCGACTTTTCAAACTGATCTATTCCACAACTGTTGTTCATGACGAAATATGAAGAAACTCCTCTCGAAACGAACACAAAATAGAAAAGAAAAGACCACCATTTGAAAACCATTTCAAATAATCACGTAGCTCTTATCCGTCTACATAAGAAGATGATCCATATGGATTTGATGATAACTGATGAGGTATCCAGAATGTAAGTCAATGGGGAATGTTCACAGAGCGAGAGGCCAAAACGTCAACTGTTTGAAATCAACTCTTCCTAAAGGGTTTGAAAATCAATCAAAAAGTCACGGATCAGTTAAATGTTTGCATGTGAGATGCGTGAGAACAACTGTGGAACAAAATCAATGAATCATCACCATGGGCCTTACACTGCTCCTTTGTTTCATTTCTGTGAGTTAACAGTAGGGTGTGTATCAGTAAATAAATTGTGTAGCAATATATTGTGATTTTGGTACCCACATTCCTGTCCGTTTTGCGATATTTTGGGAGCTTCAGTGTTTGACTGTGTGGCATTGATTGTACATGCAGAGCTTATTTTCGACATACTAAAGCCCTAAAATACATGTTATGGTTGTGAAAACAGGAATCTAGAATTTAGATTTGAATTTTAGGGATTCTTTTTTTAATTTATAAAATTTAAACTAATGTATGTAATGTATGCTATTTTGTTAATTAATTACAACTTCAGTGTGAATGAAAGTCCGTGCAGATTTTAACTTAAACCATAGAGATAATCACAAAATTTTATATATTTCATATCTGATCTGATTAAAGCCTACAAACCAGCAGGAACTCTACGTTCCCAAACCAAAACTCTACTCCATGTTCCCATGCTAAAAACATCCCGCTATGGGGAGAGAAAATTTGCATATCCAGCCACTAAAGCCTGGAACGCTCTGCCCCAGTACCTCAAAGACTGTGAATCATTGTCATCGTTTGAGACCCAACCCAAAACCTTTCTGTTCAGACTTGCCTTCTCTGTGTAACTTCTCTCATCTCCTCTCGGACATGTGTGCTTAGAGCACGTATTGTGCATGGATTTGAAGCGTTACAAGTGGACTATTATTATTTTGTTTATGTTGCCCAATATACCGGTTCTGACAAACCAAAAAATATTTGCACTACGCATCGTTTGAAAGGCGCATTGCCATATACCGGTAATACAAGTGTTAGGATTTGGTTAAAATCTTATAATTGATGATTGGTTCATTACAACCGATCAATCATCGAAAATAATTGGTTAGCGTCATGCATCAAGTTTTCCTGGTTATGTTTGTTAATGCACAAAAAATAAAGAAATAACATGTACTTCTTTCGGGGATTTTGGTGCAAATTTTAAAAAATGCATTTACAAATTTCTCATCTTTAAAGGATGACTAGTATGCTAAGGAGATAAATTTCCAGGAGTCTTTAAGATAAGTTCAAGCATGATTCGGAACAAGCTTGTAGTGCTTATGAAATGTAACAGACACAACCAACCTTGTAAAAAGTATTGTTAATGCAAACAAGTGACCCAAAATTGTTTGTGTTCGATTATGCGAAAACATGATCGATTGCTTGATCTTTTAGTCACTGCGGCCAATCTTCGATTATTTCAATTAATCGGACCACCACTAGGTAATACCGTTCTGCCCCAGGTAACATTATTGCACGGTGATGTGTCAGAGTGAAGATGTGCACAAGCTTTTAGGAATTTGCTTTAAAATATATTAGTATTTTGGTTGGACACGTTCACTGAACATCATCGTCTGACTGTTACAGCTCTTCATTCTCATCCCATTGTGTCAGACATTGTAACACGACATAATAATTGTGTTAGATCCTGCTTCATCCAAGGGTAACATTTCTTGTCTTCGTAACACAGAACAGAAGTGATTCGAATTATGCAAATAGCGCCATAGTATCGTAACTTTGCAGTGTTATAAGGGATCTTGTCCACATTTACAGACTGAAGGTAAGTATGGTTTTATGCGGCTGTTAGAAATGGGCTTCACATATTGTACCCTTGGATTCAAACCCGGGTCTTCAGCTGGACGAGCGGACGCTTTACACATTAGCCTACCCCTCCGCCTCTACAGTTCCGGTTAGAATTGATCTTCAGTAACCCATGCTTGCCCAAGAGGCGACTAACGGGATCGGGTGGTCAGGCTCACTGACTTGGTTGACATATGTCACGGTATCCCATTTGCGTAGATCGATGCTCATGCTGTTGATCACTGGATTGTCTGGTCTGGACTCGATTATTTACAGACTGCAGACATATAGCTGGCATATTGCTGAGTACGGCATTAAACAAGAAAGAAACAATTTCGGAACAGGAATTTTGGCTCGGAATCGTAAAGTCACAATATTTAAAGCTTCCGAGGACCCTTGCTCCCAAAGTACGGCTTTGATTTTGAAATCTATGTCTCATTCTCAATTGGCTTGAAATTCATTAGAAGTTCTATAGGGGTATGCGCAGCGAGCACTGTTGAATTTGCCCTACAACAATCTTGGTGTGACGTTATCGTCACATGCTATTTCCTTTTACATAGTGCTGAGAGCCGTCAGGGACAAATCATACCTTGATGATATTTTCTGTTTAAGGAGTCTTTGGGTTGAAGGGAGCTACGTAAATACTACGGGTAATCCGATGTTCGACACTACAGCAAAATGAATACCTGATGAATACATGATAAAGAACACACAGGGAGCAAACATAATTATACTTCGAGACAACACATCGAAGTTGGACACAACCGCGGTAGATTATAATGTAGATGCATGTTCATGGCTGAAACATGTCGACGCCAACTACAAACTCTCTCAGCGTGAAGAATACATTAATCAATATCTGTGTAAAGTTGCCAATCAATGAGCCTGATTGGAATGAGTGCTTCTGGTGCCTCCTAAGTTTCCTATTCCCAAGATAAATCACGTATAGATCATGTTTGTGGCACAACTATCCCAGCAAACATCAACATGCAGTAATTCAAGGGCGGTAATTAAATGGAGCTGTCCGGTCTTTCAAATGTGTGCAGTCCGTATGAAAACGTTACATTGTTATCGGTACAAAACATTGCAATCGATGTGTTGATATTGCAGTTGGCACTAAACATTAATCTATATATTGATATTATGTCTGTAAAGTTCAAAGAAGAATATGTCACTAATCTATGGAGAATAATGAGAGCTGCAAATCAACGAGACACATAACATGGAAATGTCGGGCCCCAGCACATTTTCGTATTACCAGGATCATAACAAGGATGATGATATGGCCACTTATATAGCGCTGAACTCCACGCCGTATTCACATGCTCTAAGTGCATAGAACATGATAGACATTATTACCCCGGATAACCCAAGCTGCCTAGAGTGAGTGAGTGAGTTTAGTTTTACACCGCACTCAGCAATATTCCAGCTATACGGCGGCGGTCTGTAAATAATCGAGTATGGACCAGACAATCCAGTTATCAACAGCATGAGCATCGATCTGCTGGGAACCGTTGCGCCTGACCACCCGACCCCGCTAGTCGCTTCTTACGACAAGCATAGTCGCCTTTTGTGGCAAGCATGAGTTGCTGAAGACCTATTCAACCCCGGATCTTCACGGGTCCAAGCTGCCTAGAAGTAGAAGGTTAATAGTAATCCCACTCTCAGTCACTGACACAAACTCGATCATTTTCAGGTCATCATGATAGCTGCAATATTGCTGAATGTGAAAGAGTAAAGGGACAAACTTGCGTACCACCTAGCATTATGGAGACAGCCACCGTGATAAACCTGAATTAATGAGAACAACATTGACGTACTTGGAGCATAAAACCAAGCACGTTGCATGGGTAATCCGTACTGAACAAATCAAATAAGGTTAAGCAACTTTTGTCGCGGATAGTTCTTGGATGGGTGACTGTGTTTTGCAGCTGAAGTCCTGAGATTTTCTAGGATTTCTGTCCTGGCCCGTAACGAAGCACGCATGTCGTCTCACCTAAGGCAAGGGAGTATGTTCAAATTTGGCTCTGTTTCCTCAGCAGAAAATGGGTACCTGGTGGGATAAGTCATATGACTATTAACCTTCAACTTCTAGGCGGCTTGGTCCCGTGAAGATCCGGGGTAGAATAGGTCTTCATCAACCCATGCTTGCCACAAAAGGCGACTATGCTTGTCGTAAGAGGTGACTAACGGGATCAGGTGGTCAGACTCGCTGACTTGGTTGACACATGTCATGGTATCCCAGTTGAGTAGATCGATGCTCATGTTGTTGATAACTGGATTGTCTGGTCCAGACTTGATTATTTACAGACCCCCGCCATATGGCTTGAATATTGCTGAGTGGCGTAAAACTAAACTCACTAACTCTTCACGAGACTGAAAACATTGAAAACATTTCAAGTTGTTTATCACATTACACTTCCAGACAGGACAATGAAAGTGTCATATTCAAAACCTAAATTATAGCCTCTTTTGTTCACACGTTGGTTTGGACTGATTATATAAAATATAAACAATACTTTGAATATACTTGAATATAATCATGCAAAGTGTAAAGTGTATAATTCAGGGCTATAAATGGATTGACACATTCAAGCCGCCTATCAAACCCGTTCAACCCACTGTCAGTCCATCAGTACGAATCCAGCAACCCATTATTTGACTTCCTGCATTTGATCTCTCTTCTGTCTAACTCATACAATGTATTTGTATTGCTACAGAAACTGTGTCACCTGATCCTGAGGAGATGACATTTTTCATTTATGCTTCCCGTGAATCGATAGTTGTCTGGATGTTCAGTTCAGTTCATACAATCTTAGATGATCAACTTTGTGACTCTTGAATGGTTCCGTGTGGAAGCGTAATGTGATTATTTCTTACATTTTACAATGTTCAGAAATGAGGTGTTAACAATATGCAGACAGCGCCGAACTCTTTTATTTACCTAACAAATCGCCAGTTATACATGAAGACCAAACGATTTTCCACAAGGCTACAAAACAGACTAAACATACACATGGAACAAAGTTTCGCAACATTCCATATTTGTTTCTAGTACCACAATTTAACTTACTATCTTGAAGAATTGACCCCCAAGAAATAATAAAATGGCAAATCTAAACGCAAAAAGGAAGAAAAACTGTGGTTTATTCATCGAGACATTTAAAAGGTTTGACTCTTTTTGCAGGTGTCTGACAAGGCTGTGTACTTTCACCATTCCTCTTCCTGCTGGCAACTGACTGTGTGACGAAGGGAACAACAAGAGGGAG